AAAAAGCTTCATTTCATCTAACTTGTTACCATAGAAATTTCCATATATCAAAGCAATAAGAATAGTAACCCTAAATTTGTTGCGTGCTTTCTTGTCCCAATCSTYTWTGTCGTTTTTAGCATCAGCTTTATCCACTTCAATGGTGGCTTTGAATAGATATTCTACGACCTTCTTATGCTGGTTCCTGATAGCATGGTGAAGGGGTATCTGTTCATCACATTCTCTCAGCACTAGACGCCTTTCCTTTTCTACCAAGGCCATTACAACATTCAAATGTCCACCTGAGGCAGCTAGGTGAAGTGCTGTTCTGTAGTTATTGTTCATCAACATTACCTCTTCCTTATTCATCCTGTCTAGTAGCAGCTTTACAATTTTCAGATGTCCTACCCTGGCTGCGATGTGAAGAGGGATATCCTGCCCTGCTGTGATTCTGGATACAACAACTACTCTATTATTTCTCTCGAGGCAAGTTTCTACTTTTTCATGTTTACCCTTTACGATAGCATTGTAGAAATCTTGATACCATGTGTGTGCGGTCATTGGCTGTAACCCTGGAATGGCAAAGAAAATCGATCGAGCTCACCATAAATTATTATATATTGAGCTCATCAGTCGTAGAATTAATATATAATAGCATTTTGCATTACTCTTTTAGATTTCACCGTATTATCTTCTTTCTATTTGCCAAGTTTAACAGAGTTAGGCCTCCACCACATGGCAAAACTTCCCAACTTTTCAGCCTTATTCTTTGTTTTAATTTTAAGAAGATTAGAGATATTTGAGCAATTATTTGTAAGAAACTGATAATTCAACACTCAACAGCTCCCTGCAAAGTTAAGTACAAATCAATGTTTTCAATTAAATTAATAACGAGTAGTAGTTAACCTCAATCAGTAATTTGACCAGGTCACCAGTCCAATCAGTTGGGTCAACAATGAATTGAAAACATGGGTTTAAAGAAGCTAATCCAAAAATTTGGGCAGTAAAAAAAGCAATATTTAAAGAATCTGACCAAACACCATTTGTTCAGATCACACCTAGAATTGGAATGATAAGAAAGAAAGTACACATGTACCATGTTTTAGAATATTTAATTGATTTGTCCAAGCAAAAGCCCTTTGCCTTTGATTGATTGATTCAGCAGCATTGAACTAATTAGGTGGCATTTGATAAATCTAAAATTTTAGATCTAAAAAGTTAAAAAGGTATTTTTTCTGTCTAAAATTTAAAAAGAAGTATAGGTAATTTTCTACTTTTTAGAGACTCTAAATCCATAAGTTTGTTTGTTTTGGATCAACCCTTTACCATCTGAAATGTACCGACTTTACTATTTTACCCGTAAAACATACTATTTCAAAATGTTGAGTTAAATTTGCATTATCTCATAAAAAATATTAAAATAATTAATAATTAGTAAAATAATTTATAATTAATTATTATTATTAATATTATTATTTTGATATTATTACTCACCCAACCGCTGGTGCTGTAAGTTGTAGTGGCGATGGTGGGAAGACAGGGGAGAGAGAGAGAGAGAGAGAGAGAGAGAGAGAACTGCCGCTGCAAGGAGGCAGGAAAACAGGGGGAGAGAATGAAAGAGAGAGAGAGAACCACCATTGCAAGTTGCAACGATAGTAGTGGGAAGCAGGAAGAGAGAGAGAAAGAGAGAAGTGTTCTTCCTAGAGCTTGGATTCACGAGGGGCATTCTTCTTGGAGCTTGGATTCATGAGCGGCGCTTCCTCCCTGAGAAAATACGAAAATGACTAGGGTTTTGGGTTTGGGGGTAATCATGGGTAGCGTGTGTCATTTCCAAAAGATTGGAAGGGTAGCTTGGACTATGCACTGGCTTTGAAACACGTCTTAGCGCGTTAAGAGACAACCCGCGCTCTAAAGTTTTTAGATCTGAAAACAAAATAAAGATCAAGTTTAAGAGGTGAAACCAAACGAGTATGAGGTATGAAAAGCAACGTTTTCAGATTTAGACGTCTGAAAAGTGCAATCAAATACCCCTTTATACCCATTGAAAATTTTCTTAAATTTAGCTTCACTGAAGAATTGATTTATTAGCTCAATTAAGAGACTTATTGTAAGAATTGATTTATTAGCTTCACTGAAGAATCACCTTTGATTCATCTTGAAGAAGCTATTTATATGATATTTGGATAGAGCTTGTGCTTTGTACTTTTGAAAGTATGAAACTACAAAGCACATATTTAATTTCTACTTTTGTATTCTTATAAATGCGTTTGACAAAAAAAATTACAGGAAATAAAATATAGCGTTTAAGTATAACAAAATAATGCACACATATGAAATCTACATGACATCCTTATATTTGTCATGTATCATACATACACATGCACTTGTTACTAAATATATTCAAAAGTCACGTGTCATCTATATATGATGCTACATGACACATACATGTCATTGATGAATACATTCAAATGCCTATGGCCAATCAAAAATCTCCATAAAAGTTAAAACCATGCAAAGGTTTAGTAATGTATTAAGCTATAATATTTTGTAACATGAAATTTATTATATGAGATATTACCAAAGGCCACTTAAATGGCATAGATATAAATCTTCCACATGACACTATGTGATTAATTTTGGTCCAAAAGGATCTTTCTTTCATCGGTCACCACCTTTAATTAGTGGGGCATATTTCAACTTAAAACTGGAATACTATGTCCCATGGTCAAAGTGATCTCTTATTTGAAAGGAATTTCCAAAATTATAATATTAAAAGTTTATACAATCCATATCCCTATGATAATGCTCCAATACAAGGTGATGTTCTAACAATGATGTGGTTGGGTGAGTAAACAAAAAGAATACATGAGCCCAAATCTCAAATAGGCAAAATCTCTGAAAACATGGCATCTAGCTGCACATTAGTTATATATTTTCAACATTTATGTTAAATTTATGGCAAAATGTATCTCCAAATGTGCAATTGAATGCGCATGCATTTAGAGTATTCACAAAATTTATGCTTTCATGAATAAATTAGTTGAAAATAGGCACAAAATTTCTTTGCATTATAGAAATAGATACATTATTTTGTGCTCCTGCAAGGGAGGGACTGCTCTTTTTCACCATAGATAAACATGGGAAATATGGCCTTATTATCCATCGTGAGAAGGAGTATTTCTTCCCCAAGGCTATATTTGGTTTGAAAAAAATGTAAGGAAAGAAAGGCAAACCTATACAAAGACTAAAAGAGCATCTTCTCCTTTTTTTTAAGAGTAGTAAAAAGGTTTTGGAGAAATGTACCTTTCGCATGGTAACCATACATAACATCCAATTGATTCCATACATCTTTCAACGAGTACAAATCTTTAATGAAAGCCTGGATTATAGGATGACATTGCTGTTTGATTATGGAGATAGCATCCCAATCAGAGACATGATTTTCCTTCATGTACTCTTTCATCACTCTTTTCCAATCTAAATAATTTGTACTTCTTGCATCAACTAGAATAGGAATATGTTTTATTGGACCAGAAATAATGAAAAACAAATATCTTATCAGCTCAAGTAGATAGAAGATTTTGTCCTTAGACATGATTTGTTGTTTTATAATTTTCTATGCAAAATCACTATTTGTAATTTGTCAAACTATTAGCATAATTAATAAAGAATCTTGTTAATTTTTGAAAAATGTATATACTTAACTTTATATATAAGCATGTGAACATATTTTGCTATGTTCCAATGTTTATACCAATTGTTCATGGGTTTCTATGCCTAGGGGTGCCATTTGCCCAAGGGCACTTCTACTTTGGTTGTGATACATCATGGCATTTGGTGATGCCTATACATCTAAATTTTCAATAAATTATTATACACCATGGGATGTACCGAAGTATTTTACTTTTCTTAGGCTTAGTTTTTATCAAATTTGAATGGGCCTAGCTTGAAACCTAAGCCCAAAACATTGTAAAGTTGAGCCCAAAGCCGGGCCTGTAAATAGGTCTAATGAGTAGAGGGTGGTGGGTGAAAAATCCAGGATTGAAACATCGACAACATTGCTTTTCTAGTGTGTCAAATTTCTATAGATGGGTTAGAGAATTTAGCCTTACCATAACTTTCTATATGCTGCAAATTGAAAGGACAATGGCTTGACATCAAGTAGATTCCAATGTAGTGCAATCTAGCCAATTATATGCTTGACATATGATCATAAGTTTTTTTGTTCACATTTGGGTGAAAACAAAACACCTAAAACTCTTTATTTAGGCTTAATTTGGGAAGAGTGTAAATACAAATATATATAGTATAAAACCTTGTCTATGGTATTTGTAAACCTTGTATTTGTATTGTACATATTTGTATTTATACTCTTTCTAAACCGAGCCTTAGGAGAAAGCACAACTAATCATGTTTTAGAGAAATAGTATCGATGCTCTTAGAACGAATTTTTCTTAATCAAGTCACTGACTCCGACTTGGCCACAAGAATTGTTGGAAGTTGATTCTTCTTGACTATCCCGAACAACCAGCGTATGCATGGAAAAACTTTGGTAAAATGTGTATGTGGAAAGAGCATTATAGACAAAATGGTCTATTGAATGTAAACATGTTGTGGTAATATGTGTGTTGTTACCATTGCTTTGTTCACTTTCTTGGGCCGCCTCTCCATATTTAAGCTAGAAACAAAAAACATGAAACATGTTAAAAGAGATAAACAAATATGAAATAGAGATATATTGGCTGGTGAAGACAATATATGGTTTTTCACTATAATATCACTATTATTGAATTTGATCTTTTACTAATTGTGAGGGCACAAAATGTAATTTGAATTATTACATTTATCATTATTTAATTCTCTCTCATTAAGTCTTTAGGTTATTAACTCTCATTTTTTTATTAAAACCAACCCAAAGAATGGATTTCTTTTCCTATATGGTGGCGAGTCAACAATGCCAACTTTTTGGGTCAAATGTGTAAATCCTTGATGTCATAATTAAATAACAATAAAAATTTAAAATGATGAAAACACAAAAATGTATAAATATTACTTTTGTTAAAAATAGTTAGACACATCTCTAACATGGTATATTCTTCATATTAAGCAAAAATAGTGTGATAAATAAAACAATTTTATAGACATAAAAATATAAAAAAGTTTGGAAATATATTATTTTCTATTATCACCATCATCATAAAAAATTGTCACATGCAAAATACATGCACACTTACTAGTCAAATAAAAAGCCCAGTTCAAATAAGGTTCAACACTTGCCACGTGGATGGTGGTTTTGAAACAAAATATGTATAGACTATATTTTCCCCATACTTACCTACAAATGTAGGGTGGCATGCGTCCCCCTCTAGCTCTAAAATCATGTTGTTTCCTAATTTCTGAAATCCTTTTGCTTCTTAATTCAAACGAGAATGTTCACTTATCCTTGAATATAAATCAAACCTAATTTAGTTTTCTAATAATTGAAATAAGAATTCAGTACAAGGGCTTTCAAGATGTCACATTAGTATGAATTATAATTTTCTAGATCAAATGGTTTAATCAAACATAAACTCATCCTAGAAGATTCAAGACCTAAAAGCTTGGATATATAGTAGGGCTACAACTTGGATTGGGTCAAGTTGAACTCCAGGTTAGGCCATTAGGGTAATGGTTGAAAAATATGAATCTTATATACCTTTGGGATGGTTTAGGGTTGAGACATTGATCACCCTGAACTCGACATATTATCATAGTTGTATGTATAAATATTTTATAAATATTTATATATGCATGCATGTAAAATGAACCCAACCTAAAATTCAGTAAACCTTAGTATGCTAATCTTAAATTCTTAATAACTAAAAACTTCTAGCAAAATGAAGTAAACAAACTGGACCAATCCAAACCTAACTTGCTCCCACCTAAGGTTGGGTTATAGTTAAGGTTAAGCTTGATGGTTCAACAACTAGGGTTGGATTAGGGTTGATTTCAATTTGACCAAACTCAGCTCAATTTGCACCTCCATTGGATGGTGGATCTCAAACATAATACAAGTGCCATGGGTCTTGATGTAACCGTTTCTGGTCACGTACCAATTTTTTTGTGATGTATCAATTTTTTGGCTAAGTACCTCGTCATTTGACCTGCTCGCATGAGAAGATGGTAGAGCTCCCTGGTGGTGAGCTACTTGGTGGCGAGCTCCCTGATGGTAAGCTACGTGGTGATGAGCTCCCTGGTTGTGAGCTACCTGGTGACGAGCTCCTTGGTGGTGAGCTGCCTGGTGACGAGCTCCCTGGTGGTGAGCTACTTGGGTGGACTTGTCATTTGACCTGCTCCTACGCATCCTGTAACTCGGGATGGTGGAGCTCCCTGGTGTAGCACAACCTGACTGCCCTCTTTGCATGAGGTGATCTCCTCTCCTTTGTAGGCGACGGGAGCTGAGGGACCTGCGATAACTCCATCAGAGGACCCGGGGGTATTTTCCCGACGAGGACTCTCCGATGCCTAAGTTAGCATTCTTATTGTAGGGAGCTTGGAGAGAAATGAGAGAGCTAGAGAGTAGGGATTACCTCGATTTTTCCATTCTCTCCCTCCTTGTCTTTGGGGGTCGGAGTCCTTATGTAGTGGTGTCCTGTCAAATCAGTTGTAACAGCCTCTGTCAAGTCAGGTGTAACCGCCTCTATCTCTCTGCCGCAGCTGTTACTACCAGAGTAGAGCCAGCGGGTGCAGGCGGCTGCTGTAGAGTATGGCTCTGCTAGTCAAGGGACAGCTCTCAGGGCTGGCAGGCACGGCGCCGCCTAGCGAGAGACGCGGGCACAGGTCTCCAGATCTGTCAGGTACGGTTGTCAGGCAGGAGATCTTCCTGCAATACGCCGAGCTGCCCCTAAGTGGCGAGCTCTTCGTAAGACGCTAGGCTGCCTGTGGAGTGGCTAGCTGCCTGTGCCGAGCTGCCCCTAAGTGGCGAGCTCTTCGTAAGAGTTGTAACAGCCTCTGTCAAGTCAGCTGTAACCGCCTCTGTCTCTCTGCCGCAGCTGTTACTGCTAGAGTTGAGGTAGCGGGTGCAGGCGGCTGCTATAGAGTATGGCTCTGCCAGTCAAGGGACAGCTCTCAGGGCTGGCAGGCACGGCGCCGCCTAGCGAGAGACGTGGGCACAGGTCTCCAGATCTGTCAGGTACGGTTGTCAGGCAGGAGATCTTCCTGCAATACGCCGAGCTGCCCCTAAGTGGCGAGCTCTTCGTAAG